TTTACCAAAAACTGTGCAGAACATATTTATGTCTTTCTCTTGAAAAAAAGAAAGAAAAAGACAATGTATTACCTAAGTATATGAATATAAATTCAAAAGACTAAGATAATAAAGTTTTTCTTTTTAGATGACTGCTTAGGAGATTAACATTTTGGGCTTTATTTTTTCTAAGAAATCAATAAATATCCAGATGTCACTAACATCATAGTCTTCTTACATACTGAGTATCACCAAACAGGAAACTCTTTAATAGTCTCAATGTAAAAAGCAATCACGTTACAATAAATTGAGGCTGATAACTACTTCTTTTTTCCAACTTTTTTTGGGGGGAAGGGGGGAAGGACAGAGACTGAACCCAGGACCGCAAACATTGCAAGCAAGTACTCTAACACTTAGCTACAGCCCCAGGTGCCCTGCTTTGTTATTGTACTTTGAAATAGACTTGCTAAGTTGCCTAAGCCGTTTTCACACTTGCAATCCTCCTGCTTTAGCGTTCCTAATAGCTGAGATTACAGATGTGTGCCACAATGCCCAGCATCAGACTTGATTCTCAATTTTGAATGTTACTAAATTGAATGAGATTCTGAAGCACTGAAATAACTCTAAAGCAAGTGATTTATACATAATAACCTAATTATAATACTCATATGTACTAGTGCTTATCTAGAACATCAAATAGGAATATTTCCATTTGACAAAAGGCATTTCTAAGCTTTGACTTTTTTAATCTTTATTTTGGTTTTTAAAAATATTTTATTTAAGCCAGGCATGGTGGTGCACGCCTTTAATCCCAGCACTCGGGAGGCAGAGGCAGGCGGATTTCTGTGAGTTCAAGGCCAGCCTGGTCTACATAGTGAGTTCCAGGACAGCTGGGGCTACAGAGAGACCCTGTCTCAAAAAGACCAAAAAAAAAGAAAATTTTTATTTAATATTTTTATATGTATGCGTGTACTGCCTGCATGTTAAGTGCACCCACATCATGTAGTGCCTGTGGAGAATAGAAGACAGTGTCAGATCTCCTGGAACTGGAGTTTCAGACAGTTGTTGGCTGCCATGTGGGTGCTGGGATTCAAACCCAGGTCTTCTCCAAGAGCAGCCAGTGTTCTTAACCGCTGAGCCATTTCTTCAGCCCCTGAATCTTTTTTTTAACATTTATTGTTCATCTATTTGTTCATTTTTTGAGAACCTGTCTCACTATGTAGCCCTGGCTCACCTGAAACTCACAAAGATACACATGCCTCTACCTCCCTAGTGCTGGGATTAAAGGTATGTATGTATTCATTCATTCACTCATTCATTCATTCATTCATTCATTCATTCATTGTGTGTGGATACATGTGCACATGTGCCATGGCACTTGTATGGAGGTCAGAGGACAACTTGTGATTGATTCTCTCCCTCCATCAAGTGGGGCTCCTGGGATCCAGCTCAGGTTGGCAAGCTTGGCAGCAAAAGCCTTACTCACTGAACTGTCTTGCTGGCCTTCCTTTGCGTCTATACAAAATCAGGTATCCTGGAGCCTGAAGACCTAGCTTCAAATCCCAACTCTAAGGGCACACACAGGTTTCATGACAGATCTGTGAGTCCTATAAATGAACTAACAGAAGCTCCCACCTTTGAAATTTCTATAAGAACTAGATAATTTAACCCACTAGAAGCCCTTAAAATTAACACTTGGCACAAAAAGTCTTTGTGTTAGCTATTACTACTATACAACTTTTCATCATTAACTAAAAATAACTAAGGACTTGAGCTGTACACAGCTGGGCAGAAAAACCCTCTAGAATCTGGTCCCTTGTCATCTTCCTATGGTCTCTGAAAGTTAAAAAAAGAGTCATTCAAGGATGAGATATAATCATTTAAAAACAGGTAGAGGTATAGAGAAAATAAGAGAAAACTACCAAGCCTCAGGCAAAGTGTGGTGGTGTGTGCCTGAAATCCTAGCAGCCAGAAGCCAGCCTTGTCCTAACTGCCAGCTTTTGGTTTTTCCCACCTCTTAACTGGCTGGGTGATTCTGGTCACTTTCCATGCAACAGTGATAGACTAAGCTCTAGCAGCTGTGCACTTGTTATTAGGAATTTTGACAGATGTCTGATTCATGACAGAACCTGAATCTGCCCAGGTGCCCAACCAAAGAAATTGGTACAAAATAGAATCCTACCCAAAAGAATGAATCATTAATATACTGAGTAACATCACAAACCATGCTGAGTGATAGAAGTCATATATGAAATGGTACGTGCTTCATTAAAATAAACTTCTACAACAGTAAGATCAATACATTTGGGGAAAAAATAGAATGTTTAAGAGTGGAAGGATGAAGGTTCAGAGAAGCAGCAAAGAAACACAGGTTTGCTTCTACAGGTAGATATATTAGTCAAATCGGATTAAATGTACATTTAAGAATTTTGATTTCTGCCAAGCAGGGTGGTGCATGCCTTTGATCCCAACACTAGAAGAAAAGGCAGGTGGTTTTCAGTGAGTTGGGGCCAGCCTGGTCTACAAAATGAGTTCCAGGTCAGCCGAGGCTTCCTAGTGAGACCCTGTCTCAAAAAAACAAAAAAGAATTACTCATTTCATGATATAGAAACTTTATCTTAGAAGGAAAAAATCTAAATGAATACTGACATCTAGTTACTAATATGTATACTGAAATATTATGGGTAGGTTCAGTACTGTTCATAACTTTTGATATTTATCCAACAATGATGAATTAACATGGGACAGGCAGATAGATATGTGATTAAGTACATTTATACTATAAAATAGAATAGACTCAGTAATATGAGTGTTTACATAAAGTTGTTTCAAAATTTATTTTGAAAACTTTCTAATGAAAATATTGAGGGAAACAATTGAAGAAACAACTGCTAAAATCAATAGCTAGTTACAATACTTGATTCTGAATTTCTGTTACAAAGGCATCTGCTTATTTTTAGTAATTTGGCTTTAGCATATATGCTGTAAGTTAAAACAAGTACAGATGATCTAAAATTGCAAATTTTATAAATAGTATCTTAGATATATGTGTAATTACAATAAAAATATCAAAAATATTTCTTTATAGAGTATTCCAATACATTTATTTCAAGGGCTCTGAAGAAAAAGGAGAAGGTTGAAGTTTGTGGTCAGTATACAATTTGTCTTTTTGCCTGTGTGCATACTTGGGTGCGAAGGCCTGAAGTAGAATCATCCTCATTCCCTTTTCTACCTTATTCACTGGGAAAGGGTCTCTCAATTAAACCCAGAGCTTGCTAACATGGCTATTCTTGCTAGCCAACTCATACAGGAGACCCCTATCTTCACCCTCCGAGGCTAGAATAATAGGTAAGTTGTCATACCACTCAAGATTTACATAGGTTCTGGGGATTCAAAGCCTGGTCCTTGTGTTTGCAGGATAAGCACTTTAACTACTGGACCATCGGCTCATTACATTTTTTTGGGGGGGGGGGGGGTTGAGAAAGGGTCTCCCTGTAGCCCCAGCTGGCCTGGAACTCACTATGTAGACCAGGCTGGACTTGAACTCACAGAAATCTACTTGTCTCTTCCTCCCAAGTGCTAGGATTAAAGGCATGCACCACCATGCCCAGCTCTGTACATAATTTTTTAAAACATATTTTATTTATTATTTTTATTTTTGTGTATATGAGTGCAATGCCTACATGTGTATAAGTGTACCCATGCCATGCAATGCCCATGTAGCTCAGAAGAAGGTGTCAGATTCCCCTGGAACTGGAGTTATGGACAGTTGTTAGCTGTCATGTGGGTGCTAGGAATTGAACCTGAGTCCTCTATAAGAGTAGCCAGTGCTCTTAACTGCTGAGCCATCTCTCCAGCCCCCTTAGTAACCTAATTTTAAAATGAAAATTCCTCTGTCTTCAAAAGCCATCCTAAGGATAAGTACTACCTTCATAAGAAATAACACTCTATAGCACTCTGGAAAAATCTCATAAGAAATCATAATTTATGCTATTAAAGTTATAATCATCATTATCTGTACTTACCTGAGGAACATTGCTGTCAACCCACTTGGAATTTGGTAAAATATCATCCCACAAAATCAGGCATCGAGCAAGTGTCTTAAAAACGCATTACAAATAAAACTAGTTAGAGCAGGCAAAGTTCATGCATTTCATAACAGTTATAATGGTAAATAAACTAAGTATTAGTTCCCAACTAGTAACTACTTTGAAAAATGCACAGTATCAACAGAAGATATTAAAAAAATGATTTAGATCTTAGAAAAAAAAAAACTAAATTGAGTTGATCATTATCAACCTTGAGAGGGTATGGAGAAGGCTTTTAACTTGAGCCATGAAAGAACAATCACAAAGGATGATAGCTCTGCGTATACATCACAATTCAAACATTTCCACATGGTAGGTTTAAATATAAAAAAAGGATGGAGGAACATTTTTAGAGCATTTTATTATTATTATCATTATTATGCAATGTTGTTATTATGACAACCTTAACAGCACTACAATGGCAATAATCAAAACAAAACAAAAACAAAAGTCCTGGTCACATGCCACTTTTTTTAGTAGGTTTTGAATAATACTGTGAGAAGTTGAAATGTCACTCAACGTATTATGTATCAGGTAGTCACCTTCCTAGGATTCCTGAAGTTCTATTTGGGAAATTGCAGAAGAACATTGCCAATACACATGACAAATTAAAAAAAAAAAAAACATTATCTGGGAAAGACACTTATGTTTGCAAACTAAACTTGAGAATCACAAAACGACTGCCCTTACGTCAAGAAAACTGAAAAATGACAAAGCACCATACTCTAAGCAGGAGAAATTCTGGTTTCACAAAGTCCAGCAAATACATGGTGTCAGGAGCTTGCAGCCAATCAGCAATGGATCTGTTGGCAGAGGATACCAGTGAGGGTGACTGTTCAAAAAGACGAGCAAGGTCATCAAGAATCAGAAGACTGCAAATCATCTCTTCCCACTCCACCAATGATCGAGCTTTACCATTAATGTTTTACACATACCAACAAAATATTTATTTTTGATGTCTCAACTATAACCTAAGTTTCATGAGGGCATTTTTAGTTTTGTTTTATTCAGTATCTCTAGTACCAAGAAGGCACTGACATAATCATTTATCTAAATAGTTAATGGTATTTTTTTTTTTAATTTTATGTGTATGTGTGTATTGCTTGCATGTAGGTAAGTGCACCTGTGTCGTGCAATGCCCACGAAGGACAGAAGAGGCTGTCAGATCCCCTGGAAATGGAGTTATGGACAGTTGTTAGCTGCCATGTAGGTGCTGGGATTCGAATCCGGGTCTTCTGCAAGAACAGCCAGTGTTCTTTACTGCTGATCCATCTCTCCAGCCCAGTTAATGGTATTTTTTTTTAACCATTTTATTAATTCTAGAAATTAGAGGAATTTAGAACATTTAAAAGTTCCATGAATATTAGAAATTTTTTCAAATTAAAAGGATTAAAGTGAGCTGAGGATATAACTCAGGAGAGACTGGGACGGTCCAAGGTTTGGTTATTAGAAAAGCTTTTAAACAAAGCAGAAGCCAACTTTAGAAATGGTAACCACAAAAAGAATAATGCTAAGTATTTCTGGCTTAACCAGTGCTCACAATGATATGCAAAATTAGTGCAAAGTCCTGTCCTTTAGGTAGTTTCTGTTGATAGCCATCCATATCCTTGGGTTCTACACCCAGTTGAAAATATTTGGGGGGAGAAACTGTATCTATATTGAACATGCATCACCTTTTTTATTTTTGTCATTATTCCCATAACAATACAGTGTTGGTCACCATTTATACAGTACATATATGTGTATGACAGTACTTCACATTGTAAGTAATTTACAGATGATTTGAAATATACAAGAGGATATGCAGATTACATGCAAATCCCATGCATTTTACAAGAGACTTGAGCATCTATGGATTTTAGTGTCTTTAGAGGCCCTGGAACTAACACCTATAGACACTAAGACTGTCTTAACAAAGCATTAATACAGAAAAATGTACTGTTTCTAGATAAAAAATATATAACTCATATTTATTTGAGAGACTAGAAATCAAACAGCTTTATCACAAGGGAGGTATACACATGAGAAAATGTTACTACTAAGGTCAGAAAGGATGCCTCATTTCATGCAAGGAGCAGGTCAGGCTGCAAATACCTGTTATTGGTTTTTAAATAGATCATAGCCAAAGCTAGAGTGGCACCTGGACAAGTCACATCCACGTTTATGGTGTCTCCTTCCTATTAAAAGACAAGTTATTCATGTAATGAGCACCAAATTCACTAGGCTAAGCTTAAAATCAGCATATTTGTAATCACTAGTATGAAACAACTATTTTGAAATTAACTTCTTAGCTTGTGGTATTCTGATTTCTTACTCTGATTTAGACTTACTTTGATTTGATAACTTGGAGATTTATGTTTCTCCCTGTGCATTCCAGTTTGAAAGCGCCTGTGACCTCCAACCATGTACTGATACAGCTGCTCGGGCACGTTGAGATCAGACATACCTATCAAATTACTGCCATGCTGGAAAATCACGTAACTGAGATGAAAAGAAATCTTACAGCAGTAAACCACTAACACATACTCATGATAAACAAGGGAACGCACATCAGAAGAGGTTACTTTGATTTTTCTTTCCAATTAAAATAGTCATTAATAAAGATCACACAACTAATTCTCATAGAGATGATACCACATATGCTCAAGTTAACATACTTTCATAAAATACATGAAGTTCTCAAAATAGTTAATTACATTTAGAGCAACGAAAAACATTTAAGTATATACTCAAAACCTGAACTGGGAATATCTGAACACTTTCATTACTGTGTCTGTGAACTTTTCCTATATCCGACATGTAACAATTATTTATTGAATGCTTGCTCAGTATCGGGCTCAATTCTATGTGTATTTAACATGAATTACCAACCCCATTTGTCCTAGTTAACTTTAAGTGTCAACTTAACACAGAAAAAAATCATCTAAGAAGAAAGCCTCGACTGAATAACTGCCTAGATCAAATTGGCCTGGGAACATGTCTGTGGGGGTCTGGCTTGATTATTAATTGATGCAGAAAGGTTACTGTGTGGATAGTACCATCCTTATGAAGATCCTGGACTATATAATTAAGTTAGCTTAGCATGAGCCTATAAGTGAGCCAGAGAGGGAGACAGCAAGCAGCATTCCTCAGTTTCTGTTTCAGTTTCCTGCCTTGAGTTCCTGCCCTGAGTTCCCTCAATGATGGGCTGTGACCTGGAAGAGTAAGCCTTTAAAAACCCTCTCCCCACAAAGTTGCTTTTCGTCAGTGTTTTATCACAGCAACAGAATGAAACTAGAACACTATTGAATAGCTACTAGTAAGAATCTGAGGAAAGTGAGGTGCAGGTTAATCCAGCCTTAAGTTACCTAACCATTAAATGGCAAGGCTATATATGTCAAACAAATCAGTTCCACTTGGCAGTCATGGAGCTGGTTAACCAACAGACACGAATATGGGAAGTGCTCCAATTCACTAGTTGGGACCAAAATACACATACCAATTTCCGGTATAATGCTTTTTACATGGTACCACCTGTCTCTTTAGTGCATGTCAAATGTAAAGACAAAACACATGGTCGACCATGGCTTTTCAGAATGCAGATAAAAAACAGCACATTCCATTCTAACATTTAAAAATATCATTTGACTATAACACTGCACTGCTGATTTCTCAAGGGAACTATATTCCAAGTAAAACAATAATTTCATGAAATGTTGCTGATAATTTTGTATGCACCTCTTGGATAGAGTTAAAGATGACAGAATGTGCTGAAGAGATGGCTCAGCAGTTAAGACCCAGATTCTGTTTCCATTACCCAGGTGGCTCACAATCACCTGTTAACTCCAGTTCCAGGGGATCTGATACCTTCTTCTGGTCTCCATGGGCACCTGCACACACCTGGTACATATACAGGCAAGCAGGCACACATGCATACACATAAATAATAAAGGGTCTAGAGAATTGGCTCAATGGTTAAAAGTACTGGCTGCTCTAGCAGAGAACTTGGGTTTAGTTCCCAATACCCACATGGTGGCTCACAACTGCCTGTAACTCCAGTTACAAGAAAGCAATGTCCTCTTCTCACCACTGCATGCATATTATGTGTGTGTGTGTGTGTGTGTGTGTGTGTGTGTGTGTGTGTATGTAGGCAAAACATATACATATAAAATAAAAAGGTCTTAAATCCTAAAAAATTAAAATTAAAAAAATAGCCAGGTGTGGTGGCACACACCTCCAGCACTCAGGAGGCAGAGGCAGGTAGATCTTTGTGAGATCAAGGCCAGGCTGGTCTACATAGCGAGTTCCAGGACAGCTGGGGCTACAGGGAGACCCTGCCTCAAAAAGATGGGAAAAGAAAAAATAATTTTAAAAAATAATTCTAAAAAATGAGTCAAAACTTCATTTCCTTAGTTCAATCATGAATACTTATATTTAAGTTAAGGGAAAGAAATATTAACATCTCACTTCAATATAATTTCTTCATTACAAATCTGAGACTTTGAAAAAAATATCCAGAAAGAAGAAGGTGCTTAGCATTGGGTTAAGTCACAGGAGCACAGAGTAGCATTCAGAGTTAAGTGTCAAGGCATCTTAGCAAGCAGATGTCCTAGGAAAAGCAGGGGAGGACATAGACTACTTACCCCCAAGCAAACCATGCCCAGGGCCAGGCCAGCAGCTAAAGAGTATGACTCTCTGTCAGTGCAGTATTCCATTTCAGGACCAGGGGGCCGCCCTGTGGAGAAGGGAGCAATGCAGGTCATGCCAAGCTAGAGCTTTAGAGTCCATATTCAGATTGCATAAGAGATAAAGATTCAAGCCAGGCATGAGGCCCACACCTTCAATCCCAGCACTCAGGAGGCAGAAGCAGGCAGACCTCTGTGAGGCTGAGGCCAGCCTGGCTTACATAGCAAGTTCCAGGCCAGCTGGGGCTACAGGGAGGCCATATCTCAAAAAAACCCATAAACAAACAAGCAAACGAGAGAGATGGGTTAAATATGACTGCACTCAAAGTTAGGACACTACCACAGATAGTGTCTAAACTGCCAGCTCACTAAAAGAAAAGCCCCCCCAAAAGGTTATTTTTATTTGCCAATTAAAGCTTTTATCAGCAAAGACTTTCAAATACTGTTAAAACTTGGGTTTTGGGCTGGAGCGATGGCTCAATGATTAAGAGCACTAACTGCTCTTGCAAAGAACCTGGGTTCAATTCCCAGCATGCACATGGTGGCTAACAACCATCTGTAATTCCAGTTCCAAGGGAACTGCCTTCTTCTGACCTCTGAGGGCACTGCATGACAAGAGTGCACTTACATGCATGCTGGCAATACACTCATAAACATAAAATAAAAAAATATTTTTTAAAACTTGGGTATGGGGCTGGAGAGATGGCTCAGCAATTAAGATCACTCACTGCTCTTCCAGAGGACCTGGGTTCGATTCCCAGCAACCACATGGCGGCTATGAACTGTCCTTAACTCCAGTTCCAGGAGAAATCAAAGCCCTCTTCTGACCTCCACAGCAATGCAAGACACGGGTACATGCACATTCATGCAGGGAATATACTCACACACATAAAATAAAAATAATAAAATATTTTTAAAAAATAAAAAGAATAAAAATAAAAATATTTTTAAAAGTTGGGTTTTACCAAAAAAACAAATCAAGAAGACAGGGTCTCCCTGTAGCCTCAGCTGTCCTGGAACTCACTATGTAGACCAGGCTAGCCTTGAACTCACAGAGATCCGCCTGCCTCTGCCTCCCAAGCGCTGGGATTAAAGGGGATTATTTTTAAAGAGACAATATTTTAATGTTTAAAAATGTAATTTTCAACCTCTTGAACTTTATTACTATCAAATTTATTCAATAGATGTGATTAAACAAGATCAAATACTGGTAACAAATAAAAAGTACCCGTACTTTCTGTTTTCAAATTAAATATTATGTTTCCAAATTTTCATTTTGATTTTAATAATACTGAGTGCTCTTATGGTAAATTACTATATAATGACCCTAAAGGTTCGGCACTCCATTTTTCTAACTCTATCCTTTAGAGAAACAAATATTTTATGTATAAAGACCTCTACCTCCGTGCTTGCTTCAGCAGCACATATGCTAAAAATTGGAACAATATAGTGAAGATTAGCATGGCCCCTGCACAAGGATAACATGCAAATTCGTGAAGCATTCTGTATTTCAAAATAAAAGACCTCTACCTCCATAAATAAGTTCACATTTCTGGTATATCATACTCCAGAGGAAAAAATGCAATTAAAAAGTTAGACAAATGTATTAGTATAGTATTTATACATATTTATAATCCCAGCACTTGAGAGGTAAAGGAAAGAGAATCAGGCATTCAAAGCCAACCTGGGCTACCTGAAAATAGTTAAGACTTAAATTAAGCATTTTAGAAAACTCCATGAAATCATATGACAATATGAAATTAATTTTAAAAGATACTATGACAGTGAAATATTTTTAAAGGCAGAATAAAAATAGTATCTGCATTGTGATGGTAATTACATAAGAACACTCATATGAATCAAAGGTGAAATCCTGTGCACAGAATATCAAAGAAGCATGCTGTGGCTGTGAGATTGAGGTTGTATTGTTAAGATGGCATGATGATACAGCCAGAGAATATGCATTGACTTTCTAGATAAACAAGCTTAAAATAACCAGTGTTGATACCTTCTGAGTATTTCTTCAGGTTAGTACTTTATGCTTCTATATATTTTGGTAATAGAAATGTTTCAGTTTCACTATAGTAGATCAAATTATCAGCTCCAATACACATCCATCCCCTGAAATGGCTTCATTGTAAACCTGGTCACGGGCCAGCTTTGGCCTGGACTTTAGCATGTAATGGCAAAGAACTGAAATGTACTTCCACTACTTGTTCCTCTCTCACATACACCTGTCGTCATCAGGAGAGAAACACACCCTCCAACCTGGGTCCTGGAATAAGAGGTAAAGCAGAGCAGAAGAATCACAGATCTAAGTCTAAAGCAGAGAGAGCAGGCCAACTGTGTGGTTGTTCATTATGCAGAACTATTGTGGCAACAGTTAACTGATGAAATCATACTAAAGAATAAGATCTCTGCAATAGCAAATTCTGAAGTACAGTAATCCCCAAAGGTTTACTTTCACATGGTTTCCCTTACCGGTGACATTTAATGTTCAACAACATTAAATGCAAACTTCTAGAATTAAAAATGTAGAACTTTTTTACAGTATATTGTTAGAATCATTCTATTTTACTATTAGTTACTGCTGTTAATCTGTTACTATGTGCAGATTTTAAGTTAAACTCTGTCATTTGTACATAGAGTTGACCCTTGATATCTGCACGTTCTGCATCCTGCACATCAAAAATGCTTTTTTTTTATACATGTACAGACTGTCATTATTCCCTACACAATACAGTGTAAAAACCATTTACATAGTATTTAC